ACACAAGCAAAACGAATTCAATAGTCGGTGAACGCCGCGTAAAAGTATAACCTAAACTGGTTACGACTAACGATGCGAGGAAGCCATAAGGGACACTTAAGGGAGCAGGCTGCCTTGTTTATAGGAATGAGTGCTCACTTAAGGCTTCACTCAAGCGTTGTTTATGAATACGATTCATCCACTTAAGGGAACACTCAGTGTATGAGACGACTATGAATTTGGCCCTATATCTTTAATTGAGTCGGTGAGTTTGAAAATCATTTATCTCCATGGAAGATAACTGTACAAGAGAAACAAAAAACTATATCATTCAATACTCATGTGAAGTATAGGGATTTTTACACGGTAATATTATTACATTAGTTTCCGTGGAGATGATTGGTTTTCAAACTCATTGATTCTATTAGAGTTCAAATTAGAATGTTTAAAAACCATTTCCTCAGGTACAATGTGCTTTTTGATGTTGAAATTGTTCTATATCGCTTTCTACGCTAGTCATGAAGTGGTTAACAGATCTTTGAAATACAATTGAAAATAAGGTTTGTACGATGATGAAATATGTTATATGGGGAAAGTGAATGCAGAGGTGTTTTAATCCAGATGCACATTCATTCCCCCATATGCCTGAAATCAAACAGTCAAGCAATATTGTTTTGGTAACTACTACAGTTATAAATGGACTGTTTACTGAAAAATTACAATATAATTTGGAAAGAGTATTGCAGTTGTCACAATTACAAACAAATGTTTGAAAAGCAGCTTGGTGTTTCATGTAATGCAAATGATCAGTGCATGTGTTGAATGCCATTTTCTAGTTTGATTAAATAAGGTTATCTTGTGTAATTACACCTATTAATTGTACTGATAATACCAAATTTCGTCCAGAAAGTAAAGAACGATTTTTAATTTCATCCTTTCATTCCGTAATGCAGTAAAAATGCTCTGATAAATGAAGCTACTCTTGTTGTATTTCCATTTACTAAGTTTTTGTTTGTCATTTACTCATTACCTTCGTCAAACAGTACCGAATTAAGATCCAGAAAAACAAAATATGATAAACCTCAGTATCAAATATTCACCAACTACTTGTTCAATAATTCAAATGGTAGACTTAACTTCAAATATTATGGTGAGGCAAATCTTTCGAGGGTTATTCTCAAACATCTCGCTCTAAAGTTGTTTCGTTTTATGTTCCTTCATGATTTTGCAGTTTGCTTCAAGTTAGCGTAGATGTTTCTTTTTTTCTCTCTCGTCTTTTCTTTATGTCTGACATCTCTTACGTTTATTATATGCTTCTTGTCTACCCAAGTTTTAAAGTTTTATTTGTGGCATATATTTGAATTTATTCCTGATTTCTCATTCAAGAAGGTATTAAAAATATTTTATTTTAATTATTTCATTCGATATACCCATTTTCCTTTGTAAAGCAGGATATTATTTGAAACATTATAACTTGTGAACGTTAAACCTTTTTTGATTTCCTAGTTAAGATTGTTGCTTGAATTATACTTTAGTGCTAGAACCTAAATTTGAAAATTCATAAGAGACTTGTATGTACTTCGCAGGTATGTGAATTAGAACTTTTAAAAAAAATCACTGCTAACAATAATAGTTAAGAGTAATAATTGCCAATTTGAATTTTCTATAACAATCTACTTTTGGCTATAATTAGAAATTGAACCATTAAGATATTCGTATAATTAGAAGAGTTATGATGTTTCCGATCAAACAACCAAGAGAAAAAAAAATTCAGGGAAAAGCCAGATTAAGTTCCATTAACTCTAAAGTGGTCATCTGTGAACACTAGTTCCCTAACGACACGAAAGAATTTGTCCAAAAGGATATTGTGCTTTTGTTGTGATGACATAAGGACATTATATTGCATTATTTCAATAGCATTTTAAAAATTGTTCATGAAATAACCTTAATTTTTCTTTAATGTTTTGCGATTAAGGCCACTTTAACTACACATGACCATCGGACATAACATATGCACATGCATTCAGAAAACTACAAATAAATAAAAAACTAACAAACTTAGAAACAAACGGTTTTAAGCATACAAAAGTTCACATTTCAATACACAATAAACTATAAAAATCAAAAATTCCAATTTTTCAAAAAAAATGTTATTTTGAAGTAGACCCTAATAAAATATATTATTTTCTCAGCAATTGACTATGCCGGAGATGTCATTTGTCACTTCATTTCTATTGATTTCCCTGTTTAAGTTATTTCCTTGACTTCTCTCCAGTTTTGCTAATATAATTCTCTTTAAGCTTTTAAATTTTATTTCTTAGTTGTTTCTGCATCAATTTTCTTTATTCTAACATTAATTTTGTCTTTCACTTCTGTTTTTCCAGTTATATCAATTTAACTTGAGAATGAAAGCTTGTGTGTTTGCCTATATAAGTATAAATGAATTGGTTAGCTTTTAGTCCGATCTTTAAATTTACTATGTTTATATAAACCATCCATTTGGCTTTTCAGAATCGCAATTAAAAAGTGTTGAGCTTTTTTTCTTTTTGTTGCAGGTCTGCAAGGAAATCAGAAGCAACTAAAGGTCCTTTCAACCAAAAGGCACATGGATCTGGAGAACCAGTTAGATCTGTTCTTCTAATTTTTGATCACACTTTCCTTAAAGTTTCTTGAATACTAATAGCACTACTTAATTTATTATTGCCTTCTTAAATATTTCCACTGGCAGAGTCATAGTATTTTTTTTCTTATTTCTCCTCATTGATCTACCTGTTTTGCACAACTTCGAACATTGTATTTTGACCTGCGTTTCTTTCATATTTTTATTTTAATTTTCTAATTCGGTATTCGATCTGTATTCCTGTAATATAGCATTTGCATTTAATTTAAAAGCAACCCATATTTGCAATGTGTCATATGCGCATTTGTTTTATTACATGCTACATTTTTCAACTTATTGTGTTGTTCTTATTTTTCTCTTCTCTTTCCCCCACCCTCTCCGTTGTTGGTTTTAAATATCCATTTCACTGACTCTAATACTAAGTTTACAAATTAAATTGGACTTTAGATTTTTACATTTTTGTTAACAATGCTTACATTTTACTTAATTATACAGATCTACAAATGAATCAGCGGTAAACAAGATTTCTTCTGATGAAAACACGGCTAGTTCTGATGCATGTGGATTTAAGCGGGTAGTTGGTTAAGAGTTGGCAGGATGTAAAAGCAGTAAGTCAATGGCATCAAATGGTTCTATGTGCCAAAAAGTATGTCTTAATGGATTCAAAAATGTTGATGAAAAGGATGATACAGTTACACTCAAGAGATCTGACAGCAAGGAGCGAGATGGAGCTTTGTCCAAGAAAGATGGTATCCCTCATGATTGTGCAAAATTTGCTTTCTAGAGCTGCTAGGGGCAGCCATTCTGCCTTGTGGACACTTAGCTGCATGTATTAAGTGTGCACGATCTCTCAAGGAATGCACTGTGTGCTTTGAACATTGTGTAGCCACTGTCCGTGTATATCTTTCTTAATTGTTTATTTTTGTTTCATTAGTGACAGTCGAATGGCCTTGGTACTTCGATTGTGGGGAAAGCAGAGGTATTATGGCTGTAATAAAAAGTTGATAGTTTTCCCAGAAATATAAATTTTGTATGTAGTTATGTAAATATGTTGTTAATTATTCATTGAGATTTTTGAGATCCACAAGTTTATTCTTAAATGCAGGAATAATAACTAATGGTACAAGATGGTGGTAAAAATAATCATAATAATATCACGTTTTTTTTCTGTTTTATAATCACTATTTTATTTGAGCCTACATCTTTCTTGAAGTTATCACATTTCAAAGAAGTGCCCAGCTTAATCATAAATACATTTTTTCTGTAATGATTCTAGACTCGTTGGAATTACATTTAGATTGAGATTTATTCAGTCAAAATAACAGTAAAAACTGTACATGACGTAGGGGGGAAAGATTACATGTTGAGTGGTTCTTGTGTTTGGGTCAATGAAAGAAAACCAACACCATTGCTAATGTTTCAACCATTTATTCGGCCTTCACCAAGACCACAAATATTTTTTTTTTTTAAATTATGTACAGAAGTATGTATGGTGACCATTTAATTCATTGATAAGAATTTGTCGTCATTTAAGCCTTTTACCTGTAGGATTTTAAATTATGTAAATCTTACATTCTATGGTTTCTTTACCTCTATGTGGCTATATCTCGCATAATGAATAGTTAAGCTCAACTGTGTGTCTAACATTCTGCAAGTGCTGTGCAATGGCTTCTGTTTGCATGGATCATGGTAATGATTTAATGCTGCCAACATGTCAAACATGAACACAAGATTATTTCATTTTTACCAAGTGTTTGATGTAAATACAGGAAGATACAATGGAATACAGAAAATAAAAAATTGTTTACAATAATGTTACAACAATGAAATTTTATGAATCTGACAATTGAAAGAATATTATTAGCGGCTATATGATTTTGGTGTTATTGTCTAAAGTTTTGTGTAAAGGTTCCAAAAGACTTTTGGTGTAACAATTGACCTGAAATCTTTTTTGATTGTCTGTTGGTGGTTGTTTTTGCTGTATGAGATATGATTACTGTTGTATAAAATTCTGTTGACTAATTTATAAGGAAATTCATGTTTAACGAGGATGTTTTTTACAATTTGAAGGTTCTTTTGTGAATTTTCTGGGCTGCTGAAATTGAAGGCTCAATATTAAAGGGCAAATACAGTATTGACTTTCTGACTCGGAAGGTGATAGGAATTAAAATTAATATATATGTTGGACCTATTTAGTTTTCTATACCATTGACTTTTGATGTACCATTTTTATTTCTCAGTGTCTAAAAAGGATACAGAAAAGTACAGAAGAAGACAGAATTTTTCTCTTTTTTCTGTATTATACTTGTATTCTCCTCTAAACATATTGTGTATTTAGATCACATACTTGGTTAAATGAAATACTCTTGTGTTCATGTTTGACATGTTGGCAACATTGTATCATAACGATAACACAAACACACACAGACAAGCTGTTGCACAGCACTTACAGAATGTTAGACACAGAGTTGAGCTTAACTATTCATTATGTGAGATATAGCTACATAGGGGTAAAGAAACCATTGAATGTACAATTTATGTAATTTATGATCCCACATATAAACCACTTAAATTCCAAAATTTTTTTAATCTATGATTTAAATCATTACCATACACACTCATGTACATAACTTTTTTTTTAAATCTATTTTGTAGTCCTGATGAAGGCCAAATAAATGGATGAAATGTTGGCCATAAACAATGTTGGTTTTCTTTTATTGACCTAATCTCAATCACCATTCAACATACCAGGTCTTTATCTTATCTTGCAACTCAAGTCTGGAAACCCCCTTTTGTCTTGCCAATTTCGCAATGTATGCAATACCTTCGGCATCCCTTTCACGTTTTGCAACTCACGGTCGCTTGCCCTCATATTTAAGAGGGCAGGAGAATGGGATTAACTTTAGTTGAAAGAAGACTTATTCTGTCTGTGTTACTCATCAATGTACTGCAGTAACTACATTGAAAAGAGTAATCTCTTTAGTCTCCCCACAAGTGGTGATCACTTTAAGCATTTATTCGAAGGTCAGCTTTTTGTCGTTTTAAGGAAATTTATTATTTTTTATTAATTATTTTCAATAATTTTAGTAAGATTTTCTAATTTGCTTAATAATCAGATTCCGTAGTAGTAATAATAATATTGCATTGTTATAAATAATGAAGAGTTTGGTGATAATGTTTCATGAGATATCCGGTTTCTCTGTGAGCTGTGTTTCTTTAAATAATAATTATCATTACATTGCTGTTAATAAATCGATAAGTCAGTCATAACATCCCCCTACATCTTCAGTATTACAGTTTTGCTTCCTAAGCACTGAACAGAATAGCCTAAAGAGCTGTTTTGCTCCTGCTCATTTCTCTGCCCATCCCCACCCCACCCTACACCCTACAAACACCCTGCACAGTTTGAAAATATCTTGGAGTATGAACCATATACCTGCCTGCCTAAGCTCTTGAATGGGAAGAACACAGAAACATGAAAGTTATTGCAGCCTGAAACTTGCCTCCTCTGCTGTCTGGACGTGCCAGGCATGTCTGTCTTGAAAGGACACAAAGACCTGCGGTTGCCAAATTACCAAAATAAGAACAAGTGATACCAAACATGGGTTGCAAGTTAAGCTAAATGTTTTACTACAACAGGTCAAGAATCGTTGAAAACAAAATCAATTTATGAGTAAGCTGGACATGAGGCCACTGTTTCAAAAATGGAAAAGGTTCAAACCAGTGCCAAAAGTAACTAAATATAATACAGTATATATATGAAAATTCAAATGCATTTTAAGTATAAGTGTCAATCTTCAATATAATTGCACACTAGTGAAAAATATAACCTATTTGAAACCTGTAAATTACATGCCTTTCTGAAGAAGTAATTATCAACTGTGCGGAAAAAAAATACTTCACCAAATAAACAAGGGCTATCACAATAAAGTGAAATGTCACCATTAAGCTGGGCAGTAGCGCCAAAGGAAATATTACTGAAACAAATTTTAGTTCTTTTCATCCCATGTCTACAAATTAAAATATTCCCTGATCCACTTTTGGAATGGTCAACACTAATGGTTTAAGGATGTATTTATGGAAATATGCAGCAGCTGTTTTTAAAAAAAATGTATATAGATTTAGATTAAGAGTAGAAGATTCAAATCCATGAATCTTCTACTCTTTTCAGTTAAAAATCTATAAGATATCGAGTATGGTAGTTCTATATATCTCTTTAGATATACACCATAATAAACAAAATTATCTTATTAATTAATGAATGCTGCAAGAAAGATATATTCGATATCTCTTAAATGTATGTTAACCAAATATGCTTCTATTTGTGTGATTTGTGTAAAGTTTTATTATTATTATACTATTATTATTATTATTATTATTATTATTATTTTATTGCACAAAAGTGAATTATATCAAGATGTAAAACGTGTCTGTAAATCGTGAATGGACACTCCTTTTATATACTTTTAATGCAAATTAATGTGAATTTTATATTTATTACAAATGAGATTTAAGCAACCAGATGCACTTCATTTATTACTTTATTTCAAATATATGTGTATGAAAGACAGGTTCTCAAACGAGGTCACTTGTTCAATATGGTATGCAAACACTTATGTTTATTTTTGATATATTTAATAAGGTTTTTTAATTTGTGAAGAATATTCAAGTCGTCCAATTCCATAATTTAAAAAAAGTTTTTGCATAACATATGTCACATCCTTTTTATCTATCAGTACTGTTAGTTTGCTTCAAAACTTACTAATTCCTTGTTAAAATTCCATGTGAATATTGCATCATGTTCTGAAACTACTGAAGGCCAAATCCGAAAATCTTTTAAATTCATATTAGTTTACAAATTTCATAGCTTGTTTCATGTCCATTCACAATTTTTTGCCACAAAAACTGTTCAAACCCATAAGTACTACATTGCATTTTATAAACTATCTAATACAAATTCTGTACAAGTTCTTATAGATTCAAGAGTTCTTAGGACATGGCCAGTGATTGTAGTGTTAGTTGTGCAGACACTAGTTTGTTAATTTCTGATAAGAAAATTTGCCCCAAGCAGAATATATGGACAAGTGAATGGACGAAAGTGAAGAAAGTGGCAAGATAGGATAAGAAAGGATGGGTGCCAATTGAATGGATAAAAACACAGGATGCCAATTGAATATTGTATTCCGAACTTTCGTGAAGAGAAAGGAAGTAAAAAGTACCAAAGTATTCCTAAAAGTTAGGAATCTTATTAAATTAGAACATTTATTGAAAATCTTTATCCGCTCCAGAGACATTACATTTGAGAAATTACCAAAAGACACTTCCTAAGCAGTGTT